CGAACTCGCCTGTCGTGCGCGTGCGCGTGCCGCCGCGGATACCGCAGCCCGCGCCGCCGAAAGAGAACGGCGGCGCACCGACGAAGCCGGCGCAGTCGACGGCCAAGTCAATACCAGGCAGCAAGCCCGCGGCGGCGGGGAAGCCGCCGGTGTCACCTGCGCGCGCGACGTTCCAGCCGAGCGTGGCGGTTCCCACCGCTGCGAGCGCGAGCGCGATCTCAAGCGGCGGCGGCGGCGGCGGCGGCAACAGCGCGAATAACGCGCTGCAGCGCTCACTCGTGTCGCCGTCCCCGCCCGTTGAGGAGCAGGGCGAGCCGCCGACGATCGTGGGCAAGGCGGTGGGCATCGTGTCCACCGCTGGGGCGTACTTCGGGCTGTGGAGCGGCGCATAATGTAGTTTTACTCGGGCTCTGTTTCTCTTTATTCTCTCTCATCCGCGTCTTGGCTCGCTCGGCAACGGCAATCAATCACAATCTCATTCTTGGACCCTGCAGCATCATTCTGTTTCTGTTTCTGTTACACCTTACTTACCTTACCCCTCACCTCACCTCGCTCGCACCTTTACATCCGCGTCCGAAACCCGTCACCTCCAACTCCGGTTTACCCTACGACAAGTACTACTAGTACATAGTTCCGCGTGGCTGTTTGTTACCTTAAGATGTGTCTATATGTACCTATCTACCCAGAAATCGGATCCCGAGCCATCGTCCATGCATTAACGAATGATTTGGGTGTGTCACTTGGTTCTTTGTTACTGCATTCGGCTGCGAGCGATAGTCGTGGCGAAACGAGAAACGCGCCGGACCGAGAGCTCCGTCGCGATTGGACATGCGATGTGCGGGATCTGCAGCGAACTTGATCCGAAAATGGCGTCTCTATGTCTGACCAAACCAAGAGCGGTAACATGTGCGCCGGCGCTGTGGGTGTCGAGCCTCGAAATGCAGCCAGAATTGCTCGTGAGGACTTGCAATTTCTTTCGTGTTTTTTTATGCAACCTACTAGTAGAGCAGCCATCACTCAATATTTAACCTCTCTGATGCCGAGTAGACTCAATTGACGATATCATGGTATGTCTCAGTAGCGAACATAAGTGAACATGGGTAGAAATTCTGGATAAATTTCAAAATTCAAGAAAAGAAATGACATGGTTTCACAAAGGACGGTTACAACGCCTATTTCGAACGTTCTCCTCGGTCTCGACAGATCACTTCTCCCAGAAGTCATGATGCATGGCTTTGTGTCTCTTCCAGTCCTTCTTCTGACAAGCCCTAAAAGTAACGGTGAATTTCTGATCTTGGCCTACGATAAGGGACTTACCGGCCACAGTATCGGTCCTTCTTACATTTCGGGCATGTCAAGCCTGCCTTCGTTCGACAGACGCAGCACCGTCGATCTGTCCTCCAAATGGTCTCCAAGTACGACACGCCAAACAAGGGCGAAAGTGCAATCCTGGTGCAGTACTTCGCCAGGGGTTTCCAGAGCGGCTCATTGTGCATTCGCTGTGTGTCCCGTCCTTCACCACATGCACAGAGAGGGATAACGTCCATTTCGGTTGTAAGTGGGACCAGACCTTCGCTGATGTACTGGCATGAGTCGAGGTGCGCCCAAGTGCGGCATCTCTCGACGAGAACAGGAAGTAGCTGCTTCCACTGGGACGTGATTTCGCCTGGCTCCAAAGCGATGTTCATCACCTTGGGAACAAGCTTCCCAAAATCATGCCCTATCTTTGTCATCCGTTCTTCGCTCAATGGCAGAGCAAAGCCATCGCAGACCACAGTGTGGGCAGAGAGGTCAAATCGAAGATTGTCGACGAAAAGAACGGTGTCACAATTGTTCGTTGCCTTGTCTCGTCTCGAAGGGCGAAAACACGCTGAGGGGAAGAGCCTTTGGGTTGGATCCCGGACGAACGCACAATGATTGAGTGGATGCTGTCCTTGACGAACATGAGGGCGTCCACGTCTTTCTTCTTTCTCGCCTTTGCCTCTCGCCTCGAAAAGGCAGCACCGACATGCGGATTGAGCCACTCATAAAGCTTACGGGTCTTCAGATTCAAGATGGGAAGACGCTCGAGGTTGAGGCGGTGGATGCTCCAAGGCATGAGACCAGGAACGGTGACTGGGAAAGGGTCCACATTTGCTCCCTCTTGTGTGAAAGACAATCGAAGAGGAACAATGATCTGGATGCAGATGTCAATTCCGAGTCTAAGGAACCGCAGAGAAAATACAGGCCAACTAACCTCGATCCAAAGGGACTTCCTGGCTAAGCGTAATCGGTGCTGCGCCCCTGCGACAGGGAATGGAAAAATGATGTCCTGTTTTCTTCCCCCCAGCACGAGCTGGATGACGCCAAACGAGATCTGCCGCACATTGACATTCTCTGAGGATTGAAATGCTGACTTTGCTAATTCGTCCTCCACATTGATTTTGGTTGAAAAAGATTCCAGCAGATCGCACTCCTCGCTGAAATTCGCACCGATGGGGCCTTGAGATCCAATCGGTCCGGAAGCGGAAGGTACCTTCATGCTAACGGAAAGTCCAGACGGTAGCGGTTGCTCCGGGATAACCAGAACACTTTCTTTGTCAAAGAGCCTAGCGGAGTGGATCTCCAGGCGAAACCCAAGAGTCTTTTCATAATGCATCACGTTGGCTGCATTGCTTTGAATGCCGAAGGTAATCAACATGTCTCGGGGAAGATCATGGGCAGGACCGTGATCCATAAGCAACATGGATGGCATGATGAATGAGACAACGAGGGGCTTGTTGCCTTGGAACCCCTCTGGCTCCTCCTCAAAATATGCCTTCGGATTCGCAGGCGTTCCAATGGCAGAAATTGTCCCAAATGCTGTGTGAATGGATGAGAAGATGTTCTGCATCCTGGGGCCTCGCATGCCAGCTTCAAGGGTGGGTGTGGCAGGCGAGCTCCCGGCGAGAACATGAAGCTTCTCTCTCGGCACCGTCAAGAACACGCGAACAAGAGGAGGGACTCTAGACCATGCGGTGAAGGGCCCGGTACGAGCCATGTTGTCTCGTCGATAGACGTCCATGGTATAGACCCCGTGGAGATGAAGTAGACCACAAAAGTCTTGATATTTGAGGGCGTTCACCTTCAAGGGGCTCAGATGAAATTGGTGAATGTCCATGAACCTGTCAAGGACCGCAATCCATTGCTCTTGAGAAATCTGTAGCCTGTCCCGAATGAACTTCAAGAGCAGCACAAAGCTCTCTCGGCTATAGTGCGAAATACTGGCGCGGCTGATGGCGTCGAGGAGATTGACACGGTGACGTTGATAGAACGTCAAAGCATCCCCCTCCTCAAAAAGTGCATGGTACAGATCATAGAGGAAAGTGCCCAAGTGCCGTGGCTCGAGTTCCGGAGGGTCGCCGCTCAATGTCTTCCAAGTTGTGACCTGATGATATTGTCGCGTTGCTTCTTGTGACCGACGCACCACCTCGTATGTCAGCAGCTCATGGACATTCCCACGGCTTGAGTAGCCTGTGATAAAATCGACAGGACAAAGATGGAAAAGGACGGTCATGACTGTGAGGTCAGCGCAGAAGCGCTTGGCGAAGTCCTTGGGGGCATCTCCATCACTATTTTGGATGAGGAGAGACTCTAGATAAAGGACGCCGTCACCAGTGCCTGATAGGAGAGGTATGGACGTAACAAGGACATTGAGTAAACCAAGATGATCATCTAGATTGGAAGTATCAACCACGTCGAATGTAAGTGGGGCGTGCTTGTATTCTTCCTTGTCAAGAGTGATCGTCTCGGCGCGCCACTGACATACAGGAATTCCCGTCTGCACGGCACCCGACTCCCTATAGATTTGGAGAGCGCGAGCACCAAGGATGGCATCCGCGAAGAAAACGCGAACGACACACAGGCCGCGCTCGTGGTACCTGCGGAACGCCTCGCACCAATCCAGGAATTGGGAACGGATGCCTTTCACAATATCCGAACGAGATGGTGCAGCGTTAAGGTTACCGAAGATGGGTGCTAGATGGAAGGGTATGACAGGGTCGGTGCCATAATGAATGTGACAGCCGACGCCGTCTTGACTGTAGACAAAAGTGGGGTTGAGGAGAATAGCTGCAGAGCGCCTACTAGTAGGTGCAGATACAAATGTTGTCCCATGTTTCCAAAAGTCATGGAAGCACTCAGAGAGCACAGGGAAGGCAGACATCATGAGCGGCCCTGCAGATCGGCTGGTGTGCATCATGAGGTGCCCCTGATGATGCTGGCGCTGGTATTCTGTAACCCCCCCTTTGAAATTCGCCACAATCGCGTCCAGCTGCGATTTGGGCAACGAGTGCATTCTGGCGTACTGATCCCAGTGCCAACGTAATTCGGTCAGGGTATGTTGGCTACTCATTGGAAGTGTGGAACCATACAAAGACTCCTTCCAGAGTTGCAACGTGGTCGAAGCAACAAGGAGAGCTTGGCATTGAGAAACAAGCAGGGCAAGAGGATCCTTCTCCAGATATAGATGGAAGAAGATGTCGAAGAGGTTTTCGACAGGCTTTTTGTCAATAATGAGGGAGAGCAGTAGGACATTGCGGGCTGGAGCAGGATTGAGAACGGGGTGGGCAGACAAATCAGGGGGAAACAAACCAAGCACCGCAGGCTCTAAATCTACACATGTGAAGTCAAGTTTGCGGGTTGCTGTGGGATACTTCAGCTAGGTTTTGGGCTTAATCGAGTCACTCACCAGTATCATGTTCGGAAAAGAGAGTGAACAGCACGTTTCTCGGATCTCCGCAGCCCAGAAGTAATAGACGGATGTCTTTGTCGGGGGGTACATCTCGAGCAAGCGACACGGCAGAGGTGTTCCCGATTGCATAGAAATAGCGTTTTCCGGGCCAGAACAAAGGATGTGCCATGGTAGAGAGAACCTCGTGTTCACGAATGGCGGCGCTAGTCTTGTGTTTACCGCAGGGTAGTTGAACTGAACTGAGGGTCACCGGTATGGATCTGTAATGTCGAGTACATGGAAGTATATCTCCGGATTGGTGTAGGGGTTAACATTGCCGCCTCTCACTGCGTCCTTTAGACATGTGATGAATCGCGGCAGCCCGGGGTTCGATTCCCCGATCCGGAATCTTTTGTGGCAGGCTTCATTTTTTTTTTCGGGGACTGATGCCCAAACATCGCCGGGATCTCAACACGCAAAAAAAAGTTTTTTTGGCTTCTCCATAGCGGGGCCGACTCATACTCACCTATTGACCGCAAAATAAGGTCAGCCCTATTCTCGTACTTTTTCAACACTGCCGCATTCTTAGTTCTGCAGTTCCAGGTTTGTGGCACAGTTAAACGTTGAAGTTGCCTCTGTTAGCGATAAGCTAATTTTTCAAGGCTGCCGAAGCATAGGGTATACTGAGAACTCCGGTCCATATAGACTGTTGTAGAATGTGGTAAGGATTTGGAATTCAGAGCTGCTAGCTTGGAATCACGCCCTCGGTTACTATTCTGGAATGCCAGGTGCCGATGCTTGAGCAAAGACACGACATTGGACCCACGGTTCAGACCTGCTTGCAATAGAAACTGAGAAAGGCATGCTTGAGACTAAGTATTAAATACCCTTTTGCACGGGTTGACTGCTCATTCACGTGTAGATATGTTTTGGATCTGTCTGCTCGTTGCCGTGCACTCCGCAAAAAAAGTCAAATCAAATCAAATGGCATTCATACAGTTCTCGTTTCTCGTTCAAGTTCAAGTTCGTGTAGTGAATCTCACGCAGAGGCTCACAAGATGTACCTATATCCACTCCATTCATCTCCTTTCTCTCTTTTCGCGTCCTCGACCGTGTCAAACCGACCATTCTTCTCGTTCAGTTGAGAGTCGTCGGTTTTGCCGATGATTTCATCTCGTTCTCCCCGGTCGCGGCGCGCGTTCTCCGCCCGTAGTGCGAAATGATAAGTCGTCGAGGCAATAATGCCGAACATGATGTACATGAGCACTAAACCTATTGAAAGACAATGAGCTGTGTGCCGCACTAGAAATCATGGGGGACTTGCCATGACCAAGAGGGTACCAGGGTTTGTCTGCGGCGACATCAGTTGGACTTCCGGGCAATGATAGATAATACCTTTTGCTCGATACTGAACAAATAATTTATCAGAGAAGGAGAAAGGAGGTTTCATTTACTTACCACGTTCGAGCTGACGGCCCCATTGATATTGCCGCTGCGCAAACATTAGAATCCCTCATATAGATCGGAGAAATGGAACGCACAAGCTGATCACCATCGCCAGGGATACGCTACGCTTGTAGGATCCTAGGTCATTTTGAGATTTGGACCAAATTGTGAATTGAATAGACTATACCTTCAACGTTGTTTGATACCCAAGCAATCGAGTTGGCTGAAGAGACGGAAAATCGACCTTAGCGATCGACTGATATTTGACAAATACGCACGAATGACGGGGTAGATGCCGCTGAAATATGGTTGAATATCAAGGAATTAGCATGGCGGGGATGTATGACGAACCAAGTAGCCATATACACAGCAAAGTATGATAAAGCCGCATTTCGCGAAGCAATGAGGATTATATATCCCGCGCCCCCTATCCAGAGGCTTAGCAAAGCATAGTGAATGTTACAAGAGGCCACAGCGCGCACCTATGCACAAGAAACCACTGAAACCAAACCATTAAATGGTACAGATTGCCACGTAACTGTTCAACTTACATGTTGAAAAATCCTCGATGACCGTATCGGTCCGCTAAGAATCCAACGAGGCATCTATGGGAGATGAAGATCGAGGTAATGATGGGGAAACAGAATAATCACGTTATGCAGCAGGCGAAGAAATACACTGGAACCGTTAGCAGATTCGCGGGGGTAGCCTTGAATCCTGATAAAAATTCAGAAGACATGTTTCAGCGACGAACGTCTATGATTACCGAGCTAAACGACTGTCAGACCGGAGGACGCCAATTTCAAGCGGCGACGAACCTGATTGATGATGGAAGGCAGGAAAAGGGAGAACGCATATAATGGCTAAGAAAGAGTCGGAACTAAAACCTTGAGAGAGTCCGACACCTACCATATCGGCCCCGACATAGATTACCATGCCTAGTTAATGCCTCGTTAGCGGGGATTCACCTTTTGTCCAAAGTTCTTACCGATCCAGGTCTTCCAATCGAGCAAACTCTTCCAGATATACTTCCATTTGAGAACCTCTCCTGCGGCCGAGAATTGGTCGTCCGACTGAAGTCGTCTGATCACAACGGTCCGTTCCGCCTCAGTAAGGAACTTGGCGGTGTCCGGGAAGTCCTGGATAATCCAGAACGACGCCGCACCCGCGAGTACAGTGGCCAAGCCTTCGAGAATGCTAGAGGGATATCGATCGGTCGCTGTCTGACTGAGTTACAAATGAACCTACAAAATCCACGCCCAGGCAGGCTTCCCAGCAACGCCTTCCATATTGGAGATTGCGGCCTGAAGCTCGGTTAAAACATGAACGACGCAATTAGACGGTCACTTACGGCAAGCAAACCACCGAATGCACCGGATACCGTGGCCGCCGAAAAGAATATCGCGGCTCTGATGCCAAATTCCGAGCGTTTGTACCAGCTGTAAGTTCAGAGTTGTCAAGGATGTACGGATATTTCAAGAAAACTCACACACCATGACAGGTAGTAGTTTACACCTGGGTAGAGTCAGTCTTTGACACCGCCAAGTCGAACACTGACCTGGGAATAGTCCGGCCTCGAACGTCCCAAGCATCCACCTCATTCCTGGAATACAGCGGTTAGACACAGAACTGCTACTAAAACGATGCGCCGTACCGACGAGACCACCAAAATTATGGACAAGTCCCTGGACGGTCTAGAAATTGTAAGATCGTACTGAGTCTCGGAAAACTTGAATCTGAAGGGCTCACCATCATAACTCCCCACAGCAGCATCAGAAGTGATAACCAGATGGACGGGCGCAAACGTTTCAAGAATACGTTTGACGGAACCTACTCGATATGAGCAACAAAGAACAAAAGATGATTAAGAGACACTAGCCTCGAAAATAGCGTAACTAGAGCGGTAACTTTAGCGATGCTCCGAAAAATTCAGAGGGCTTACCTGAAGAAAAACACCGTCAGAGAAATTAGGTATTGGTCGTCTGTCATATGCAGGTCCGCCTCCAGATTGTACAACTGGGCTTTTTCAACGAAAAATTCACAAAAATGCTGAGAGTTCTACCTTGGCACTAGATTTAAAGGGTAACAAGTCAAATCGTCGCAAGGAATCGACCTTCAAGTTCTTACTTTCCGATGCTTGTGCGATCTGGGAGAACGAGATGTATCAGTGGTTCCAGTAAGGAAAGTAGTAGGTACTGTACCTAGAAAGCTCAGCAGGTACAAGAGACTGAGCCAGCGTCAGAAAGGCCGAACCGAATCAATGACGACGACGTGCCTGAGCCAAGGGATGAGTGCCATATCCAGCTTCCGAAGCAGCTTGCGCTCATCTACACCGCTCGTATCCATATCTGCATTATAAACCGGAGGTTGAACAGGCGTAGCAGTGTCGGACGCGGGGGGCGAGGTCTTGGTGTCCATGGTGGTTTGGGAGAGCCAGCAAGATCATTCGTTTATCAGTCTAGCGTAATGGCCTTATTACGAAGCTTTTCATTTGGTGTTCGGCGGTCAGAAGGCCAATTGAGCTCGTCAACAACATATCAGGCCGTGACATATGGGGTTAGTGATCTTCCACGCTTTCCCTCGACATCCTTTTGCATCCTTCATTAAACATCTGACAAAATTTAAGCAACGTACCCAGTTTGGCTCGATATATTTCTCAACTGGATGTGAATTTACCGTGGTTCTTCGATTGGCGTGCAGAGTGGGTCCAGAGAATTTTTCGCCTTTACGCCGGACTCAGCTGACCGTTTTTCTCTCCATTTCTTAACGCTGTCAGAGGTGGACGCGGTTATCAGAGTATTGCCCCACTCGTACTACCCGGCATCGCGGACTTCCATGGAACGCCGTTGCCTGCCGTGGCTTTTAAATGGGTCTTTTTCAAGTGCTCCAGGTCGAAGTACCTTCAAAGCTTGCATGCCAACCTCAAGCTGGCAGTACTGTAGGACCAGTACGTCTGGGATGACATCGGGATCGCGGAGACGGACCACCGCTTCCCAGGTTGAACGGTCGATCTATAATCCGTGAAGCTCCCATCTTCCCAGAAATGGAGACACAAATAGTGTATCTGACATATGCACAGCGGCGTGGCGGCCGTGGTCCGCGTCCAACTCGGAGCTTAGGCGGGAACTTTAAGCTGGAGCAAGACGGTTGGTCTGAAACCACAGGACCTCTACATTGTCCCAGGCTTCTTGTCATATCCTTGCTTCTTCAAAAGTGGAGTAACAGCCACCAGGCACCCGGAATCTCTTCTCAGGACTTCCCAGGCTCTCAGGAGGACTTCCCAAGCCAATGATCATGAAGCGGCGCTGATAAGGCTTTCGGCTTCCATCTTCGGGGGCGTGGGAGAGCGACAACTTTGGATTGAAAAGACTCGTTTTATGATTCAAACCTCTGGATCGAATATGAAATTCTACTCTTTTTTATGCCAATCGAAGGACTCTGCTCGTGCGTTGTACTCATTCTGGCATCTCCAAATCCGACCCGCGACGAAACCTGGGAAAAATAAAGCCTCGTACGGGCCGCATGCTGTCATGGTTCTTCTATCGCAACAGCGCCAAACCCAGCTTTCTCCCACTCACTACACCGTATGGAACCGGATATCAAGGACTCACCTAAGCACTCGGTGCAAATCGTTGAGGAGAAGGGTTCCGTTGAGCCCGAGCAGACGTTGTACAATGCCCATATCAATACCGCTGAAATCGACGAGCGGAAAGTCATGCGCAAAATCGACCTGCGGCTTATCCCGTGGTTCTCCCTCCTGTACTTGCTCAGTTTCCTTGACCGGACGAGTATTGGGAAGTGAGTACGTGCTTCAGTACTATTTCGAAGCTAATCAGCGAGTTCTCAGCGCAAAAGTGCGTCAAACAATACGCAATTCTGTTAAAGTCTTATCGCGACGCCGCAGGTGTATAACTTGGAGCGGGACCTCGAAATTTCAGACAACCAATATTTGATATCTTTGA